TTGTAAATAATGTGTAAATTTTTTTTCTTAAACTCTTTTAATCTCAAAATTTTTCTGCTGAATTTTCAATCTCTTACTCAAAATTTCTGTTTACTTTTGATATATATTTAGAAAAATTACTTTACATAAGAGTTTATCACACCAAGTAACCAATCTAACATATTTTAAAATTATGTACAGTACAGTAAAAATAAAAAATTTTAAAAATGTCTTAGATTGGTCACTCGATGTGATATACTCCTACGTAACTATATAACTACCTTTAACGTTATATAACTGCCTTTGTAGTTATATAAATCAAATACTACAATATAACGAACACTAAAGCGAAAAGCATAAAATGTGTTTGGTTATATCAGCCTTCCATTGTTACGTTTATCGCGGTACTTGAAAGATACGCAATAATACAAGTTCATCCATCAAGTAGTAAGCAATTAAATCAGCCATATAATATCTTAAAATATTTAAGATATCATTTTTTCCTTAATATTAACTCTAAGGAACTGTACCATTCGCAGCCGAATATTAAAACAGTAGAGCGTTGTTTATCCGAAGGTCGGTTATCCGAAGGAATTCCAGTCGACAAATTTAAATTTTCGCCAGTGCTGTGGCGCTGCAATCTTTGGCTATGTCTTCGGCTACTCAAATATTTTACGTTTTTGATACTAAATTAACTTCTGAAGTATAATTTTTTATTGTTTTTATATTTTTCAATATATTTATTTTGTTTGTACAAAATAAAAAAATAATTTTTAACGATACAATAGTCTTAGTTAGGCTTAACATCGATGAAAATTCAACGCGAAGCTATACGCAACGGAGAAAAATTTCAACACGGGATAAATTAATATATTTTTTCGTACATAATTGGTTATCCGAAAAATAACTTATCCGAACAACCTCAGTCCCCAATTGATTCGGATAAACAACGCTCTACTGTAATTTGTTTTCCTTATTATTATTTCCTGTTAAACCAATAAATATAAAATATTGTTTGAAGTTAAATTTTGCAAACATTTTCTCTATGTTCAATTAATACTGTTGGATGTTATGCAATTTTATCAAAATTCTGTTGTTATATTTTAATGTGTCTTGCAACATTTCTCAATAATGTTTCCTCATTTTTAATTGTGTTTTCTCTTTTTATTACTTCAACACTTTGTTAAGCAATGCAAAAATAATTATCTAGATGATTACTGTACCAGATTGTTTGAATTATTTCAGTAATGCATAATCATAGTACATCCCTAAATAGGCAATGATACACAAATGATAAACAATGGAAAGTTTTTTTTTATTAAAAAGTTTCTTGAATATAAAATACTGTATACATCATTGAAATATTTTTTTAATGCTAAAATTTTGAGTGGAGCATATTTGAAATGAGAAAATCAGGATATTTATAGTTAATTATGAAGTCTTTGCTGCATTATATTTTTAACAATGTGTGTGTCAA